AGGACAACACAAAGTTTGGAAGCTTAGCCAAACCTCTTGGAACTGTAAAACTGGGAAATCTCTTGTGAAATTTATGGAACTCCCTACAGCAGAGTAGCTGGAAATACGAGGACAAGCTTTTTCCAAGCCCAGACGCAAGACATGTCGAACCTGAACTTGTTCAAACCTTAAAAATGTTCTAAATTCAGACAGGAGCTCAGGTGGAGTCTCCGTTTATGTAGTTCTTCAATCTCTCCCACAAATCCACCTCTTAGTTTTTGAGCTGAGTTGTGGACTTTGTGGCTATGTCTTTGCAGAAGTCTCTGTTGGACAACCATTATGCAAGTCAAACTGTTCTGAGATCAGGGAGAGAAAAACAAAGGTTCTAGTTTTGCCACAAAGAGTTGGAAAACTAGACTAAACCAGATTAATGTGAAATATTGGAAACAGGAAACCTTGGGCTTGGTTACTATTCAACCAAAAATGGACAATAACCAAAAGAGAATTTTTAAAATATATTTAATCACACTTGACATATAATAATTTTACCATGTTTAAATCTCTGACATAGCTTAATTTTAACAATACTATACGGGGTCTTGTCTACTTTCCTTCACTTATACAACGTTCTCTTTGTTCTGTTCTAGTGCAGCTAATAAAGTCTGCTTTCATAAATCAAACACTGGCATGCAGTAAAGACAAAACCAGGCCAGACAGTTCACTAGTAGCATGTGAAGAACAATGCTTCTGTCTAGCTTGCAAGTCCCTGAGTAAGGTGGAGAGTCATGCTCCCCTCGGGTGCTTTGGTTTCTCACAGGGAAAATCTGAAGTAAATGCTGCCTTTCCTACTTCCAAAGGGAGATATATATATTTGTATATATATATTTTAGGGCTGTCGGTTAATCGCAGATAACTCATGCAATTAACTCAAAAAAATTAATCGCGATTAATTGCACTGTTAAACAATAGAATACAAATTGAAATGTATTAAATAGTTTTGATGTTTTTCTACATTTTCAAATATATCTGTTTCAATTACAACACAGAATACAAAGTATACAGTGCTCACTTTATATTATTTTTATTACAAATATTTGCACTGTAAAAATGATAAAATAAATAGTATTTTTCAATTCACCTCATACAAGTACTGTAGTGCAATCTCTTTAGTATGAAAGTGCAACTTACAAATGTATTTTTTTCGTTACATCACTGCACTCAAAACCAAAATGATGTAAAACTTTAGAGTCTGCAAGTCCACTCAGTCCTACTTCTTGTTCAGCCAATCGCTAAGAGAAACAAGTTTGTTACGTTTATGGGAAATAATGTTGCCCACTTCTTAATTACAATGTCCCCTGAAAGTGAGAATTGGCTTTCGCATGGCACTGTTGTAGCTGGCGTTGCAGGATATTTACGTGCCAGATGCACTAATGATTCATATGCCTCTTCATACTTCGGCCATCATTCCAGAGGACATGCTTCCATGCGCGTTAAAAAAATAATGTGTTAATTAAATTTGTGACTGAACTTTTTTGGGAGAGAATTGTATGTCTCCTGCTCTGTTTTACCCACATTCTGCCATATTTTTCATATTATAGCTGTCTTAGATGATGACCCAGCACATGTTGTTCATTTTAAGAACACTTTCACTGCAAATTTGACAAAATTCAATGAAGATACCAATGTGAAATTTCTAAAGATAGCTACCGCATTTAACCCAAGGTTTAAGAATCTGAAGTGCCTTTCAAAATCTGAGAGGGATGAGGTGTGGAGCATGCTTTCAGAAGTCTTAAAAGAGCAACACTGTGATGCAGAAACTACAGAACCCAAACCACCAAAAAAGAAAATCAACCTTCTGCTGGTTGCATCTGACTCAGATGATGAAAATGAACATGCATCAGTCCACTCTGCTTTGGATCATTATTGAGCAGAATCTGTCATCAGCATAGACGCATGTCTTCTGGAATGGTGGCTGAAGCATCAAGGGACATATGAATCTTTAGCACATCTGGCATGTAAATATCTTGCGACACCAGCTACAACGGTGCCAGGCAAATGCCTGTTCTCATTTTCAGGTGACATTGTAAACAAGAAGCAGGCAGCATTATATTCTGCAACTGTAAACAAACTTGTTTGTCTGAGCGATTGGCTGAATAAGTAGGACGACTGAGCAGACTTGTAGACTCTAAAGTTTTACATTGTTTTATTTTTGAATGCTGGGGTTTTTTGTACATAATTCTACATTTGTAAGTTGCACTTTCATGATAAAGAGATTGCACTACAGTACTTGTATTAGGTGAACTGAAAAATACTATTTCTTTTGCTTTTTACATGTAATAAAAATAAATATAAAGTGAGCATTGTACACTTTGTATTCTGTGTTGTAACTGAAATCAATATATTTGAAAATGTAGAAACATGCAAAAATATTTAAATAAATGGTATTCTATTATTGTTTAATCATGCAATTAATCTTTTTAATTGCGCAATTAATCACAATTAATTTTTTAATCACTTGACAGCCCTAATATATATAGATATAGATACACACGCACATGTCACTTTCAGTATAAGTTTGGGACCAGTTCGTTATGGGTTATATAAGCTGAGCTTGGCCACGCATTTTGTAGGAAGAAAAAAAAAAATTCAGGTACAAGTCAAAGCCCTTGCCCTTCTAACCACCTTCTTCTCACTTCCACTCCAGTAGTTACAGGGACAAGTACCCTGATTTGCACCTGCAGTTCAATTACAGGCCCAGAAAAACAGGTGAAAATTTTGCAGGCACAAAAAGGACAAAGGAGGCTGCCCTTTGGAAAATGTGATTAATGATTTTTTTAGCCACCTTATTTTATTGTATAACCTGATGTTCCTTCTGGAGCTGAGAAACTGCTTCCCTCCCTTGTTCCCTATCAATAATGGGGTCAAGGCACACTGACTGAGAACACTATTTATAGAGATCCTGATCAAAATCCCATTGGGATCTCTCCACAGAGTACTGGATTTGGCCCAGAACGACATCTCCGCTGAAAAGCAGCAGCAACACAAAAGTGCATGGTTAGCAACCTTTGTCAATAAGTGAAGGGAACAGACCTGTTGGATTTGACCCAACCTTGAATATCCCAAGATCTCTTTTGTAGTTTACTGGCAGAGGAAGAAAAATAATGTAAAATGACATGGAACATTGGAATAGAAATGCCGCCATTTAAAAAGTGGAGATTCACCTCAGACATTGGACCCATTTTGTTCAGCCCAAAGTACGATGGCTCAAGATACAGGAAAACCAAAATATCTGAAAATAAGCCAAGATTTTCAAAAAAATGGGGGCCTAGGATTAGGCTCCTAAATCCATATTTTGACACCCAAGTGAGAGGTTTGGCCTATCATAAAGCGCTGAGCACTCTGAAACTCCCATCAGCTTCTGTCATCAAGGGCCACTGTGATGCTTGGGTGAGAAGATGTGGGCAGAAAAGGAAGCAGGGAACTTTGAAGAGCTTTTCAGCAGTAGATTTTCAATTTCTCCCAATCCTAATGCCGATCCTCTGTATTTACACCACCAGCTGCTTCTCCTGACCAATCAGAGACAGGAGGAGGAGCAACCAGCCTTACTTTGGTGTCTCACACTGGTGCGGCAGTGGTGGGTCCCAGAGGGATTTGGAAGTGGGAGGGTAAGCATTATGCGCCTGGGATCCTTTACTACCAATGTTATTCATCATGGCATTTTTTAAAAAGTGTATTATCATTTGAAGTGGTGGGTGGTAAAGTTCTCTTTCTGGAGCAGAGGGGTCATCCCCAGGGAATTTCCTTTTGAATGTCCCCTCTAGCCTATTTTTAATGTTTAAAATTACCCTTTAGTTGTAGCCTTGTGAGTCAGGATAACGGTCATCCTTGGCAGGAATAAATCCACCAGTGCAGTAGGAAGCAAACCACCCAGGTCTTTCTTTTCAGTGAGCTGGAGGCTCAGAAATGTCCATGATATCTTTACTTAAAGCACTAATTTATGGTGAGCATTTGTTCGCCTTTCACAAACAGCTAGATGAGAGCCTGAACAAAAAGGTGTGGGTTCTTTTCTGCTATCCAGTTTTCCTTCCTGTTCTGTTAAAACAACAACAACAAAAACTGCATTGCTATTGCACATTAAACACCAAGATAGGATACATTGTGTGTTTGAGGCAATTCAAGTACATTGTGCGGACAGAGAGAAGTCAGTCTAGAGGTACATTAATGAAGAAGCAGCATACAACTGTAATAAAGATTTTTTTAAAATTAAAGATAATCTGTGCTTCACTGAATCCATTGAGTGGCTATTAAAAATATACTTCATAGCCGCAGGACAGATTTTTTCCCCCAGGAACCTACTTTTGGAGTCACTGAAATCCTCCCTCATCTTAGCTAGGCTCTGCCCTTAGTCCTGATTCTTGTGACTTCCCCAGACTCTGACTACCTCTTCGGACCTCTGACTGTGGCCTCTGGGGCCGTTAGATTCTCTTGTGAGCTCCAAAACTCCCTCTGAAGTTTCTTCACAGCAGCCATGACCCCTCACCGTAGCCCCTGGCTTCCTCAAGAGAGCTGAAGGTGGCGTCACATCAAAGTTATGTACTCACTGGCACAGCGCTACTTACTGTTGCAGGAGAAGACAGTGCTACCTGCCTTTGAGTCCAACAGAGTTCTGAGGTCAGCAATGATGTTGCAGTTTAAGATTAAGTCTGGTGGCCTAGCACCAGGACCCTGCACTTACATGCTGTGTACTCTGGTTTATTTCCAGTCCTCCTCATTCCATGTTCTGGAGCAGAGAGGGAGGCCAGGCTCTCAGCAACTGGAGGGAAATGCCCTAAGTCTTAATTGCAGCCAGTGTCCTGTGATTGATGAACTGTGCTGATAGGCTCTGAAAGGGGGAGCTGTCCAGGCTTGCTTGGCTAGAATAAAAGTAGCTAAGACTTTGGGCCCCAATGGAGGAGGAGGAGGGTAGCAAGGCTGGGGGAATCATCAGACCTTGGGACAGGTAACTCCCCCTTCCTGGGAAAAGTACATACACTTTTTAACTAGTAAAATAAATAAATCAGCAGCTTTTTGCATTTTGATGGGGTGCTTTGCTTTCCTCTCCTCTAATAGGCTAGAGTGATTCGGAGAGGAGGCAGGTGATCTCACACATTCAGTGTAAATTCATGAGGGGTTATGGCATCTGCAGCAGTGAAGCTAGTGCTTGCTTTGGACAGGGATATAGGGATTAAATGACACCTTGTAGAGTTACAGACGAGTATGACCTGCATACAGCCTGTGTAGCTTAGTCTGGTTGTGACTTCTGCTGCATTAGAGGCCAGTTTTTGAGGTGATCCAGTCGCGATAGTACGTCACTCGTGTGTAGACTCCTGGCTTATTGGGTTTAGCACATTCATCTCCCCAGCTCACTATTCCTGCGAGGTACCACATTCCTCTCAAATCTGGACTAACCAGGGGGCCACCAGAGTCACCCTACGAGAGGAGGAAAAAAGAAATTTAGTGTACCAGAAAGGAAAATATAGCTATTTTCACAGGCAATAGAGTATGGAAAGGGACAGCTTCCTTTGATGAAAGATGGGAAGAGAGCATGATTTAAAGGAACACCATCAACCTGGAATTTAGTCACTTTCCAAAAACCAAGGGTACAGCTATACCGCAAACGAAGGTGTGATTGAAGCACAGGTAGGCATACCCATGTGAGTTTTAATCTAGCTAGCATGGGTAACAACAGTAGTGAAGATGTGGTGACACCAATTTCAGTGTGTGCCAGCAACCAGAGTAGGTATCCAGAGTCCCTGGTGGGCTTGCACTGAAATGGCTAGCCTGTGCCAAAGCCCATGCCACCACATCTTGGGTGGGGGGAAGGATAGTTCAGTGGTTTGAGCATTAGTCTGCTAAACCCAGGGTTGTGAGTTCAATCCTTGAGGGGGGCATTTAGGGATCTGGGGCAAAAATTGGGGATTGGCCCTGCTTTGAGCTGGGGGTTGGACTAGATGACCTCCTGAGGTCCCTTCCCACCCCAATATTCTATGATTCTAGACTAAAGCTACCATGGGCATGTCTACCTATGCTACACTCACACCTTCATTTGCAGTGCAGATATGCCCTACAGCAGTGGTTCTCAACCAGAGGTACGCATACCCCTGGGGGTACTCAGAGGTCTTCCAGGGGGTACATCAACTCATTAGATATTTGCCTAGTTTTACAGCAGGCTACATAAAAAGCACTAGCAAAGTCAGTACAAACTAAAATTTATTACAGACAAGGACTTGTTTAACCTGCTCTATATAAGATACACTGACATGTAACAGGTTTCAGAGTAGCAGCCATGTTAGTTTGTATCCGCAAAAAGAACAGGAGTACTTGTGGCACCTTAGAGACTAACAAATTTATTTGAGCATAAGCTTTCGTGAGCTACAGCTCACTTCATCGGATGCATACAGTGGAAAATACAGTGGGGAGGATGAAGTGAGCTGTAGCTCACGAAAGCTCATGCTCAAATAAATTTGTTAGTCTCTAAGGTGCCACAAGTCCTCCTGTTCTTTTTACTGGCATGTAAGTACAATATTTATATTCCAATTGATTTATTTTATAATTCTATGGTAAAAATGAGAAAGTCAGCAATTTGTCAGTAATGGTGTGCTGTGACACTTGTATTTTTATGTCTGATTTTGTAAGCAAGTAGTTTTGAAGTGAGGTGAAACTTGGGGTTACACAAGACAAATCAGACTCTTGAAAGGGGTACAGTAGTCTGGAAAGGTTGAGAGCCACTGCCCTACATGATAAGCTGTTTGTGGTTCTTTGCCAGCCATGGAGTCCCCCTGCCAGTTTCTGTGGTTTTACAATCCCATTTCCCAATTATAATTGTTTAAATCTCTCTCTGAACAGGGGAACCTGACTAAGGGCTTGATCTCAAGCCCACTGAAATCAGAGGGAGTCTTTCAGGGGAAACAGTAAAACAGCTGTACACAAAGTGCTGTCAAACGCTTACAGCAAATGGAACAAGAACAATATTTTTCCTGCCATCCTTTTCCTTCTAAATAATCTAGGTGTTACTTGTAACTATAATAGGTTAAAACTAAGTTTTCAGTCAGAACTGTAGTTTTTAAGTTGATGACATTTCTTTAAATGTTAAACACATTAGCCCCTCTCAGATTTTAAATTCAGACACTGTGTAAATAGCATCACACATAAATCAGATTGGTCTGGGAAGCTTACAGAATTTCAGGCAAGTTAGTGCTGGTATAACAGTGAATATATTCCCGTCCCCTCCCCAACTTTACCGAAAAATATAAATGACAGCCCTTCAGCCCTTTTCTATGTGGAGCAGAATGGGAACACAGGAACTAGGTTATCTGGACTGAAGATATTTAGGCCCCAATCCTGCAAAGACTTTTGCATATAATAATTTTGTGCACATTGAATTGAATGGGAATACTCACATGCATAAAGTTAAGCACATGCAAAACTCTTTGCAGGATTGGGGCCATAGTGGAGAGTTGTTAAGTAGTTAGACCCAACATTTAGACAAACTATTCAGAACCTCAATAGAAATTTTAAAAATAGTGCCATGGAGACAGTTTTTGTCTGTATATGTTCCTGGCAGTCATTGCATGTCAAACATTGCAGCATCCCATGTACATCTTGTTGCTTTATAACAATCTTTAATTATTGTTTCAACCAGTTTTCCTGGTCCTGAAGCTGTCTTACTGCTCCGTAATGCCAAAGATCAGCCCTAGCACCTTTTAAAAAAGATAGGTACGTTTGCTGCTCTCCAGACCAGAAATTGATTTTAATGAGTGATTGCATTTTAATGAGCGATTGCTCAGCCACTTCATCCCTAAACTCCTTCAGAATTCTTGAATGGTTACTGTCTGGTCCTGGCTGCCTGCCGCTGCTGAATTTTTTAATGTTTGACACTTCGGTGTCAGAGGATGCCCCATTTTTATCACCTGAAAAAAAGCAGGTCCAGGTATCACTCAGAGTCAAATCTAGCAGAGACAGTACAAAGTAATTTATTCCTTATGGGACAGATTCTCATTTATACTAAGGCCACTTTATGCCACTCCAGCGGTGTAAACGGGCCTTAAAATAGGCATAATTATAATTAATCTTAACTATGCTGTCATGACTAGCTCTGGCATAACAATTTACTCTCACATTAAGGCCCCTTTAAGGCCCACATTAAGGCCCCTCAGCAGAGCCTGAGTGTAAATGAGAATCAGGCCCACGTTCTAACAGAAAATAGATCACTTGACAACAAGAAGTCACTAGCTGCATGGCAGGGATGGAGGAAGGCTGAAGCACCAACACGGGGAAGCCAGGAGATGGCAATACTTGTGGGAGCTGATGGGGAGTGACAAACTGTGCAGGCCATTGAGGGGAGATAAAGATCAGGCACAAGCCAACTTTGAATTACCGGGCTCCAGTTCAATCTTGCACTTTTGGAATTTTACAAGTACTATCCTAGTTCTGTTAATATGAGTTTTATGTGCTAAACTGCATGTAATAAATGTTTTATTTTACAAACCTATTAGCCAGAGAGTCTTGGTTGAATCAGAACCCATATAAACAAAAAACCCAGGGAAGGAGCATACACAGTATTAGTTAAGATTTGGGGATCACTATATTTAATCATTTGAAGTCATTTTCCCTACTAATTCTCAGTATTGAGCTTTGACCTACCTGACAGGCATCTACTCCTCCTTCCAAGTATCCAGCACACAACATCCCAGGTGTGATGACCCCATCGTACACTTCTCTCCTATTGCAAGTGTTTGAGTCTATGAGTTTCACTGTTGCTTCCCGGAGAACATTAGAACTCGAGCCTGAAGGGAAAAAATGACTCTACAAATATAAATCCTTTGCACTAGCTAAGATGTGGAAGAAGCATTTAGCATCTGTTCATGGGTGAGAGTGCTGAGCTGGGTTAAGAGCTGCTCCAGTTTGTACCACTTTTCATAGATGGAAGTAATATACGGGAGGAGTTGTACATAATTTCTAATCAACATTATTTTATAGGAAGGGCTTGAAGGGTTCCACAGTAAAGAGCTATGAGAAGATGACACACTCTCATATGAGGACGTAAGGGTAGTATCACTGAGGTGCGAGAGGAGGCCTACCAGTCTATTTACTTCTAAGTACAGTACCATACAATGGAGCACAGGCTAATAATTTCAGCAGGTTACCTGGAGCCAAGATGGCTAGTTCTATGGCTAGTTTTGTTCTGACTGCATGAACCTGAGTAAGCACCTATCTCCAGCTCAGTTTGCACCTCTGCTACATAGGTTATAATACATATCTCACAAAGGTTTTGGGAAACCCCAGTCAAGGTCAGCACTCTGTTGTCATATTCACTGTACAAACACATTGCTAAACAGTGCCTGGAAAAAAGAGCTTGCAATCTAAAATGTTATGGACAGAAACAGAATGTCAGACTCCTCCCTAGTTTCTGTTTCAGTGGCTGGCAGCTTTGTCTTTTTCCAACCCAACATTAGAGAGCAAGTAAATGCGGAATGTGTTTCTAATAGTTACACAAATCTATTCATTTTTTGCAAGTATTAAACAAGATGTGACCACACAGCTGCTCTCAATTAAACAGTTAGTTGGACTCATCATTAATGTAAAACGTCAGATGTTTGGGTTTTTTGCAGATGGACGCACTCACCATCGTTGCTCAGTGCTCCCCAGCCTGTGATGACAGCGTCAGAATTATATGGGAAAATCTGAGATGGATCTGGCAGACAGACGCGATGTACGATATTTGTAAAATCAACTTTTTTCGAGAGTTTCACGACCGCTATATCATAGTTGTGTGCTGGATAACGGTACTTTTCATGGACAATAATAGCCTTGACAAAGTGTTTCATTCTTGAAGGTCTTAAAAGAGTTCCAAAGGTAACGGTCCATACACGTGGGTTATTTGCTCTGGAAAAGATGAAAGAACTTTGTAGATATATTTAAGCCATGGAGATAAAGGTCTCTAAACTTGGTCCAGTGTAGGTAGCTCAAAACCTCACCCATACTTCCCCACAGAATCCTTGGAAGATCTTGGTGGAATGGGGAATTGGACCTACACCATCCCATCTGTATTACTCATTAGCCAAATAATAAATGTGGCCAGGTAGCTTCCCAATACACAAAGTGCATACAGCACACTACAGCAGGTAACCAGAGGTGTTTGCCTTGTCGTTTGCTGACTCTTAATCTATTCCAGTCTTTATATTGCCACACCCTTCAGAAGCAATCAGTCTTCACTATCTCCTTGGCTATTCAAAAAAGGAGTGATGGAACCATCAAATTCTAACCTCTGCTCCAGGGAACAACTCACACCACTGTCCATAGAAGGAAAGGGATAAGGTGGCCTAATGGCTCAAAAAAACATGTATATTTGAGCCAAGCTGTGATAGCATGAAGACATTCCTCTTGCTCTACCTGACCTTAGGCAGAGCAGCTTCCTTTGGAGCATCTTTCAGAGCCTTTTCCTCAGGGACTATTTTCTCCAGCTTCAGAAAGATTGGTCACCGCTCTCTGCCTGAAACCCTGAAACTTTAATATAGCCCTTCCAAGGCTTGGCATTGGTTCTGAATGGAGCACCATTTGATGTGAAGGTCGGTACATACCACATCTTACTGCAGCCTCTTTCAGAGCTGGGAACTTACTTTCTAAAGCAGTGAGCTGCGGACAGAAGCCACGTGTTGCTGATCAGTGTTGCACCACAACGGTGGATGTTGTTCTGCTGTAAACTCGCTTGCCATGGCCAGTCCCCAAGCTCTGCAGATGCCACCCCTCCGACTATTCTTTTTGATGTTGAGGATGATTTTGATTTTGCTGATCTATTCTGTTGTAACCCGCAGACTGTCAAAATGGGGAGAGAGAAAATAAGTCATTTCTCAATGTACTAATTGTGCTTGTTGATGCCTCTAGGCACATGTACAAAATGTACCATAAGAGAAAATGCAATTAGACCCTGTAATGACATGTCAAACTCAAAACGCTCCCTGAAATGGAGGCTGTCCACACCCACCCCTTCAAGTAAAAGTCTGAGAAAACAGATGAGTCTTGTGGAGAGCCATGAAGGTCAACCAACTCAGGCTCAATTGCATGACTAAGGGGAGCAAATTCTAGAGTCAGGAGCCCTTCACCCTGTACCCCACCCCCAGGGATTGTCAGTTTGAATGTCGCAGCTGGTCTCAGTTGCTGGGATAAAGCATCTCTCTAAGATAGGCGGGACCCATACCATGTAGTATTTTACAGAAAAAGCAGCACCTTAAGTTTCAGCCAGACAGGACGTGGAAGGCAGTGCAACATATGGAGTGTGCATGCAACGCTCTCTCAGTGAAACACTACTATAGAAGCTGGCAGCTGCAATTTGCACCAACTGAAGTTTCCAAATGGTCCTTGAGTGTAGCCTCAAGTAGAGCACGTTGCACTAATCCAAGCCAGAAGTGACAAAGGCATGGATAACCATAGTGAGGTGTGCATCTAGCAAGAAAGATGACAAGATCTTTGCCAAGAGGAAACAAAGACAAGATTCTTGGTTTCTGCTACTACCTGGAAATCCAGGAGTAGCTGACAGTCTGTCAGGTGTAAGGCCCTCAGCTGCACCTACTCAGTACTCCTGATACCTTAATGAGCCAGCTAGGCTGCCTGATGGGCTGCCCTGCCTGATTGGCTGAGAAAGCCAGAAGGCCAGTTCTTAAACCTAGCAGCGGCAGTAGCTTGCTGGCTGCTCAACACACATGTCCACGGACTCTCTGCCTTTTTGTGCTCATCTCTCCGAGCCCTGCTCCTGCTCTGCTCTGCCACAGCTCCAGCCCAGATCCTGACCAGCCTTGTTCCCATCCTGTCCCAGCCCCGCTCCTGTGTTCCCTGATTCGGGGTAATCTGGTTCCAATCCTCGGCTCTGGCTCCTGACTCCGACCCTGTCTCGACCCCAGGCTCTGGAATTCAGCCTCCAACCGCTAGGCCTGACTGCCTGTGACCTGGTCTCCTGACAGTTCGAGCAGCCCAAATTCTAAAACAGGGGAACTAGGCTGACAAGGTTCCAGATCAGTGGCTAGTACAGATCCCTCCTGGCCAATCTTTCCCTGCTCCTATTTCTGCTGTGCCCGCAGTTGTTCCCCACTGACCAATGCAGAGTGGGGCTCGTTATTAGCCGGCTGACTGGGGAAGTTGTGGCCTGGGCATTCCCATTCCTAAAGAAAGCAAGCCCACTCCTGGGCCAGCTTGAAGACTTCATTCAAACCACGGCCATGATCTTCGAGGGTAGAGCCGAGAGCACCCTTCGGGCATCACGGCAGCGACCTCAGCATGTTGCTAAGTATGCCAGAGCTCCGCTGCTTGGTAGCAGAGATTGAATGGAATGAGGCCACACAGTATTATCATTTCTGCTTCAGCCTAAATGATGACATCAAAGATGAGCTCCCACAAGTGGACTCCCCGCCTACTTATTGACCTCAGTATAAAGATTGACAACTGCCTGATGGAACGCAGCCAGGAAAGTAGTTCAGCTTCCCAGCTCCTGCCAGTCCTCCTGTCTCCAGCCCACCAACCTTCAGTGCTTTCCCCACAGCCCAAACTCATGCAGCTCAACAGAGAAAATGCAGCATCGAGCATCGGGACTATACCTGTACTGTGGAAGACCAGGGCACTTCGCATTGGACTGCCCTGTGAAGGTCCACTCTGCACCCTGCTCAGGGAATGCCAAGCTGCAGCCCCCAGAGGGTACCTGCCTCTTATTGGTACCCAGCATCCATACCTGTCTGCCGATACATTGGGAATGACTAGGTGTGTACTGACATCTCCAACTCCCTCTGCAAGCCCACACCTCTCCATCTCCAAGGTCCACCTGGAGGCACTGGTGGATTCTGATGCCTCTGGCAACTTCATGGATCAGGACTTTGTATGAGTCTATCAGATCCCCACCCAACGCAAGGACACTCCAGACTTGGTAGAATCTATTGATGGCTCGCTCATTTCATCAGGCCCAGTTACCCCCCAGACCACACCCCTGAATGTAATGACTCTCCAGGGTCACCAAGAAACCCTTCAGTTTGGACTTATCTGAGCACCACACTTTCCAGTTGTTCTCAGCATGCCCTGGCTCACTACTCATGATCCACGCATTCACTGGCGGGCAGGCAAAATACAGTTTGGCTCCCCACATTGCCAACAATTCTGTCCCTGGAATCCAAATATGGGGATCGTAGACTGGGAGCCTTCCTTGAGATTCCGAGTCTGAGCAAGTTAATCCCCAGGGAGTCTTATTACCCACTGCAGTCCACTACACTGCCTCCATGTTACCACTTAAATGTAAAGATTTTCCCGATGTGTTCGAGAAACAGAATGCAGATGTTTTGCCACTCCATTACAGCTATAACTGTCCCATCATCTTTCAGCCCACTCCAATCCTCTTTGTCCACATCTGCTTCCTTTCGGAGCCAGAACTTCAGGCTCTCCACGACTACCTCCAGGAATATCTACAAAAGTGGTTTATCCGTCCTTCCATGTCTCCAGCTGGGGCTCCAATTTTCTTTGAGACGAAAAAAGATGAATCAATAAGGCATTGTGTGTTGACTATCAGGTGTTAAACAAAGTCACAATTCTAAATCAATGTCCTCTCCCTCTCATTAACGTGCTTTTACAAAAGACTCCGCTCTGCAATGGTTTTTACTAAGCTGGACCTTCACGGGGCCTATAACTTTGTCCCGAATAGAGAGGGAGATGAGTGGAAGACCTCCTTCCATATCTGGTACAGACACTGAGCGCCTGGTCATGCCATTCAGCCTGTGCAATGCCCCAGCAACATTTCAGTACTTCATAAACAATATCTTCAGAGATGTGTTAGACTGCCATGTAGTCATTTATCTGGATGACATACTCATCTTTTCTGACGATCAGGCTTCTCATGATCAGCATGTCCATGGCATCCTAGACTTTGCCAATGCCATCTATATCCAAAGCCCAAAAAATGCAAAATTTTTGACCTGGATACAATAGAATTCCTTGGTTACTTATCTCCTCTGAGGGAATAACCAGGGACGCATGCAAGGTGGTAGTCACCTCCGACTGTGCTGCACCAAAGGACACCAGTGGGGTCCAATGGTTCCTAGGTTTTTCTAACTTCTACCGGTAGTTTATTGAGGGATTTTCCACCCTAGTTGCTCCTCTGACCACTCTTCTGTGAAAAGGAGTCTGGTTCACCTAGTCCTTGGAAACCCATGTAGTAGAGAGAGGGGAATGGTGTTTCTACTGGAAGTGGCCAGGTTTCTTGTCCAAGTGCTCACAGCCCACAAGAACCTGGAATATCTTCGAGCAGCCAGATACTTCAACCAACAACAGATCCACTGGTCCCTCTTCTTCATCCAGCTTGACATCATAATTCCCTATTGCCCAGGAGTCAGAAATGGGAAGGCTGGCGCTCTGTGCCATAAGGCTGAGTACCTGGAACAGGTGAGAAGACTCCCTCTGCAATTCTAAAGGCATCCAACTTCATCAATGGCACAGCAGAAAACAGTGTAATGGAGTCACATCAGCTGAGATCCGCCAGACTCTGGAGAATGTGGACGCCTCATTCGGGCAAGCCTCACACAGGGTGGGAGGCTCAGGTGAGCCCCGTGTGGTGTCCCGTTTTCCCTTTGGGAAATATGGTCACCCTAGTAAAACCAGAAGGAATTGGGAAGATGCATCCCCCATGACTGTGCAAGGCTCCTAAGTTCACTGCGGCTCTGTGTCAAGTGTAAGGTCAAATCATTCAAGAGAAAAAGAGGAAGCTTTTAAAGGGCCAGAAAAATGCTCAGAGACTATTTTTTAAAATAGTCAGGGAATTGCCAACCATGCAGTGCTTTCACTTACAGTCATTGAAGAGGGTTTCAGCTCTCTCTCTCCTCAGATCTGAAATAAACAAACAAACAGAGTGAGTTCAGCACAGCCAGGGCTTTTTAACCTATTAATGCAGCTTAAATTAGTCCCAGCCCACAGTAAAGGGTGGGGTGGAGCTGAACTGCTACAGAGGACAGGTGCCAGCAATGCCCCTCTGCCATGTACATTGGTCAAACTGGACAGTCTCTACGTAAAAGAATAAATGGACACAAATCAGATGTCAAGAATTATAACATTCATAAACCAGTCGGAGAACACTTCAATCTCTCTGGTCACGCAATCACAGACATGAAGGTAGCTATCTTAAAACAAAAAAACTTCAAATCCAGACTCCAGCGAGAAACTGCTGAATTGGAATTCATTTGCAAATTGGATACTATTAATTTAGGCTTAAATAGAGACTGGGAGTGGCTAAGTCATTATGCAAGGTAGCCTGTTTCCTCTTGTTTTCTCCTACCCCCCCCCCCCAGATGTTCTGGTTTAACTTGGAGAGTGGTCAGTTTGGATGAGCTATTACCAGCAGGAGAGTGAGTTTGTATGTGTATGGGGGTGGGGGGGATGTGAGAAAACCTGGATTTGTGCAGGAAATAGCCCGACTTGATTATGTAAAGAGTTGTCACTTTGGATGGGCTAGCACCAGCAGGAGAGTGAATTTGTGTGGGGGGGTGGAGGGTGAGAAAACCTGGATTTGTGCTGGAAATGGCCCATCTGATGATCACTTTAGATAAGCTATTACCAGCAGGACAGTGGGGTGGGAGGAGGTATTGTTTCATATTCTCTGTGTATATATAAAGTCTGCTGCAGTTTCCACGGTATGCATCCGATGAAGTGAGCTGTAGCTCACGAAAGCTCATGCTCAAATAAATTGGTTAGTCTCTAAGGTGCCACAAGTACTCCTTTTCTTTTTGCTACAGAGGAATCATCTGGAGGTGGAATATTTCCCGCTGTGCATCCACTACTATATCCCCTGATGG